CCCAGCCCTCTCTGGCACTTGGGCACTTTCCCTCCGACCTTTTGACAACATACAGAAGCCAATCCGAGTATTTGTGCGAGGTTTCGTATGCTTTCATTTCTATTTTAAACCCTAATCCAGACAGCCACATTTGGAAAACAAAATGTCCGATTACTTCAAGACATCTATTTCCTTCAGAAAACACCAGATTGTGACGAATGCCTGAGGCACTGACTGTCTTTCAAATTGAATACATCCTCCTGCCTGTTAGAACCGGGGTCGCCAAACCCGGTTCTGGGGATCCCCACCCACTGGCCTTTACTCAGCTCAGCTCTTTACTTCATGAAATCCTTAATTCAAGTAACAAGCTCCTCGAGAGGAACGTTTCCTCTAATCAAAGGTTGGAGAACTTACTGTATGAAGTTACTTAGGAAACAAAGACCTGTAGTGAAAATGTAACCTCCACTTCATATAGGAGTGGAGACCAATTAAAGAGTGCAGATTCATTTGCTATTATTAGGTCAATTAAGTACTCAATTATACAACCAAGAGCTCAGCTGATAACCAGCAGGTGGGGTGCCCATTAAATGAACACTTGTATACCACAGCTGTTCTTTTCCACTCCCCTAAACTTCACGTCTCATTAAAAAAAAGGAAATGTGGAGCCTTAAACATATATCTTGGTACTGACAAATTAATTTGAGAAATAAATGAATGAAGCCTTTCCGTTTGATCAGTTCAGCATGCATAGAAATTCAACTTACACTGGGATTGGGTCTGCATGGGACAAGTGTGCTTCCTCAACGCATGTGTACAAATATGTTTTCACCATCAGGTCTAAAAGCTATGAGCGCCATAGATCTGGAAGACGCTGTTTTCAGAAAGAACCCAATTTAAAAAGCTGACATTCCACATGATCTCTGAAGTTACGAACACCGTCAGCGTTAGCAGAACCGATGGGAAGATGAGGTTTAGGCTGCGCTAGCAAGCAAATTGTGCTTCTTAAATGCAAAGTTCAAATCCGCACCGACCATCGACAGTCACGCGCCGCTCAAGTGCAAGGCAGAAGTCGCGGCAGTGGAGTCCGAGAGGGAAGCGGCGCTGCCTGGCGGGGCCCGCCCTGCCCGCGCGGTCACACCGTCGTTTCCCGGCCCGCCTTGAGGTTGGGCGCGGACAGCTGCCGGCGCATGCGGGGGGGCGCAGTGAAGCTGCTGTAAGGGCCGGGCCTGTCAGTCTGGGCGCAGTGCCGCGGCCCCCCGAGACCCGCGTCTCCGTAAGGGCCGGCGTAATAGCAGGGCAGAGGCCGCGGCGGCGGCGGCGGGGGCTGATAGTAGCGGGGCTGCGGGAAAGCCGGGAGAGGCGGCGGCGTCTGGAGCCCCTCGGACTGCAGGGACTCCGCGGAGCCGGACGCTTGGCGGTGCAGGCCGCGCGGCTGGCCGCCGTTCAGGGAATTGCTACGCCACCGGCCCGGCGGCTGCGGGCTCTTGTAGCCGGGCCTGTGCCCCAGGCCGTGCGGAGCGGAGCCCGGGTGGGGGGCGCCGTTCGGGGCCTGCTCCCTCGCCTCCTCCTCCGGCGCGGGCTCCTTGGGCACCTTGAGCTCGATGACCTCCTCGTCGGTGATGATGATGTGCGTGCCGGGGCTCCAGGAGCTGCGGTGCTTGGGGTTGCTCTTGAAGGGGAAGCGGAGCTTGCGGTCCTCCGGCGGGATGAACCGGTGCGGCCCGCTCTGCCGGCGCAGCTGCTTGGAGATCTCCTGCTGCTGCAGGTTCTTGAGGCGCACCTGCTCCTGCCTCATCCAGCGCATCCGCCCGCGGCGGAAGGAGGGGTCGTCCCCCATGAGCTGGGACACGCGCTCCTCCTCCCCCTCCTCCTCCTCCCCCTCCTCGCCCCGGCCGCGGCGCTCCTGGTTCTGCTCATTCAGGCGCGCCGTGCTGGCGCTGGCGCTGGCGGCGGAGGGGGGCGGCCGCTCCTGGGGCTGCTCCTGGGCGCCGATCATGGGCAGGACCCGCTCCATCTTCAGCATCTTGTTCCTCAGGGCCCGGATTTCTTCGTCCTTCATGTTGTTCTGCTTCTTCACCTCCTGCAGGATGTCCTCCAGCTTGTCGATGTGGACCCTGAGGTCGTCGACGTCGGTCACCCCCCCCCGGCCGTTGGCCATGACGTCCTCGATCCGCTCGTCCCCCACGCCCACGGTATCCCACACGTCGCGGGCCACGGCGCGCCACGAGTCGCGCTCGTTGGGGTCTTTCTTCCCATACATGCTGCAGAGCTCCTTCATCTTCACGATGGCCAGGGCTTCGATCTCCTGCCTGCAGTGGCGGAAGTCATTGAGGGCCACCTCGTAGCAGATCTCCTTCACGGCCTGGATCTTGAGATCCGAGATGGTGACCCACTTGGAGTCCTTGGTGATGCGCCTGCGCTGGGGGATCTGGTACATTTTAACCGGCTCGCGCTTTTTGCCGCTGCTGGGGAGTCCACACTTTTTGACAATGGTTTGCAGCTTGCTGGGAGGCAGCTTCTCCCTCAGGGAGGTTATTAGTCTCCAGCTCTCTTCGCAAGACCTCTTGTCTGAATCATCCCCACTATCAGAATCTCCGTCCTTAAAAAAACAACAGAAAGGAAAACCCCCAAAAAAATGCCCCAACAAAAAAAGAAAAATTACAATGGGAAACCAAAAACGTCAAAAATGGCTTGAAAAATCAAATCAAGAACATATGCAAGACAGGAACCACTAATGCAAAATGAACAATTTTGACATAGAGTACCATGTCCAGGGCTCAGACTTTTTTTGGGTGGCAATATATTCATCATTTCAGTAAAACAGAATTAAAACTGTAAAATTAAAAGTGTCTGACATTTTCATTTCCTGAATCAATCACATTATTTGACTAATTTTTTTTAATTTTCCTCAGGAAACATAGCAGACCAGAAAAACAAACTATCTTCAGCTCGTTCCTTCTAGTTATGAATAGTTAAGGTCATTCTTTCAAGGACAAAGGGCAGGGTACACCTTTGTGAAAAATAAGTGGTATATCTATAACCATAATTAATATTAATTAACATTCATAACTGAAACATTGTGGTCCCTTGTTTTGCATATTCTGGGCAAAAAGTAAAAGCGAAGCATGACCTTGACGATTTGAAATAATAAAAAGTTCAGGTGAAAAATGAAACAGGAAAAAAATCCTTTGATTTTTTTTTAAAGTTTATCCTCCTCTTAATGTTTTTTTTTTTAAAGCTGCACCCCCAAAACATGCTACAAAAACATGCAGAAAGGTGGACGCCTTCCCCATTTGAAGTCCATGGCAGGAAGAAGACACGAGTGGTTTAGACTCAGCTAGTGTTAGGAGCAGGTTAGTAGCACAAGAGCACTATACACAGGGTTAACAACAGCCAGAAGACAGTCTGAAAAGTGGTTAGGAAGCTGGTTAACACTGTCGCTAAGGTGAACATTACTTCAGAGATAATGCAGTTTCTCATTCTTATCAAAAATGCACACAGCACATAGAATATAAAATTTAGAAAAAACAACAATGAAAAAACGGGTGACCAGATAGTTACGGAAAGGTCATGAGTGTAACTTAACTCAGTACACAAAATGTTTAGAAACTTCACAGCCCACTTCTTCATAACCATTTCAACAGCATAGCCCTCTTCCTCTGATATCACACTCACGTTACGTGTTACACAAAAATGAAAAACTAAGTCAAGAGACTAAAACAATGAGAAACCACATTGTCACTAGGCTTGAAACAAAGGTGATCTATTTTAAGCCTCTCGGCATTCCAATGCATTGCTTTCATAGCCAACTGCATTGTAGAGCTAAAACATCCCGAGAAAGTAAAACAGAATGAAAAAGTAAAACACAAAATACCGAAGCCAAGTACTTCCTAAATGCTGACCAGCTCAACAACATTTAGTCTGTATGTATTCTAAAGAATCTCTACTTATTAATGAAACTGTTAAACAAACGCACAACGATAGTACAATGATTGGTATTAGATATAAAAAAAACCAAGCAAAAATAGCATACTGGAGATAAAAAGATATACAGTCGTAAGGATGAACAGAACTGAATATTATGCAGCTTAACTGAAATATTAACTAAAGCCAAACAGTGGTGTTTAAAAGAAAACAGAATCTCAATGAGTATCTGTAAGTCAAACAAGGAGTCAGTCTAATTAAATCAAGTAGCTGAGCACATAGTTAATTTCCTTATTGGGTTTATCATTTTGTAATGAAACTTGCAATGTTAAATACACAATATATATACTGTATAGTAAACCTGTATTCGCTGTACAAATAAAAATCAATACTTTCTCAGCCTCTCATTTGCAAAGTTCAATATAAATCTGAGGAGAAAGATCAGGAAAAATGGATCAGGATTTCAGATTCTTTCTAAAACACAACAAACTATAAACTGAAGGCAAACCAACACTGACAGAGGCAGAGAAAACACAGCTGCCTGTCTTCTGTGCGTTTCAGTCCTTTCAGTACAGATTCCCATGCAAGAAGACAGGAATTGAAACATGCACTTGATCACAAAAGGAGTGTCAGGAGTTTACAGACCAGTCCATGACAAGAGCCAGAGTGCAGAATTAGTGATCAAATGTTTATCAGAGCAAGCATCACAAAACAACAACTCCCAACTGGTTGACAACTTTAAAAAAAAGACATCTTCCTCCAAAATGAGGAAAACAGTTTTCATGGTAGAATGATCAGGGACTTAATTCTTAGAGAAGAATAAAGCAGGTGACTCTAAAAGAAGATTTGTGCTTCATCACATGATGTTTTTAAAAGAAAAGTCAATGGGTAATTGAGGTTATATTTGAACCTTAAATCTGTGTTCATTTTTTTATTCCCTGCACTGAAGCAGAGACACACACGTTGATTAGCTATCACAGATTGCACAAGATATGAGCTATAAAGTTACAATTTCAAACCTTTAGGACCATCTTAAAAAAACAGGCACACCACTTCCAGTTTTCTAAAGTGAATATAAATAGCAGGTGTACACTTACCAATCTCTGCTGTTCAAGCAGCTGATCTGCTTCTTCTTTCTCTTTTTTGTACAGGATCTCCATTTCCGTAAGTCTGAGAAAACAAAAGCATTGATGATGTCTGTGCATTTTTTTTGCTTTAAAATTCATGCAGTTTTCTACATAGCAGAAATTAGCACTTAGCATTCAGATACTGTGAGAAATATCTTCTTAAAAGAGACAGGAGAATTCAGAGGATTTTATAAGTGAATGATTACACAAAGATCAACAGTAATTATACAAAAATATACTTTTTGGTAGGGTTAAATACTTTCAGTTTTGTTCAGCTTCATTTCCGAACATCTTGAAAATGGGTGAGGTGTACCTGGTACTACAAAGTACCCATGAAAAGGAGCTCAATTTCTTTAGTCATGAATACAGAAGACTATAAGAGGATTTGACACAGGTGCTTAACATTCTGAATAACACTCAGACTGGACTGCTTCAGGAGTGAAAAGCAAGCAAGGACAAGAGATCACAAATGAAAAGTAAGAGAGTGTGCAACTGGGACTATAAAACAGGAGGCACTTCTGCGCATCGGGGGGTCTGGAACATGTTGCCCAGCCACAGACACATCTGGAAGGAATCCTTAGCTTAATAAACTATTACCAACCAACTGAGCAAGACTGAACAAGGCGAGATCTAATGGCCTTCTCCTCAAATGTACCTGTTATACTCTTACTATTTCTGCAGACATTTTACTCTGGAAACAACTTTATTGTAACAGCACGTGACTTTGGCCATATTTAATAAAGTTAGACAACAGGGGGATGGATGGACCCATTGAGTCCCTCCCAGAAATCCTGCCACAGGCTCCTGTACCTTTTCTCCATCTCCTGCTTCATGTCGATGCCCTGCTTCTCCAGCAGCTCCCTCTGGGCGAAGGTCCAGTCCACGGGCTCCGAGGGCGTCTCGGCGGACGGAGTCTTCTCCCTCTCGGCACGCGCCTGCTCCGGGTGGTTGAACCGGAACACATGGTTCTTTCCCATGATGATCCGGTTACCTAACAGGACAAACAGGTAGATGGGGTTAGCGCTTTATACGATACTCTCCACTGGGGGGAAGGAGACACCCTGCAGTGCTGAAAAACCCAACAAGAACAGTCTATCCGGATCTCAAGGATGCTACGTTGGTAACGGACACAAAGGCTTGGACACTCAAGTCTCGAATAGGCTGGTCATTCAGACTTGAGGGAAGCCCTTCCGATGTCGAGATAAGCCAAGATATTACTGGACCAGCCTCAGGACAATCACCCGCATGATTTAATTTAGATTTAACATTTGATTTGCCACCCAAATCAAAAACTGCCTGCAGCCAACCAGCTCGGTTGTTTGAGCTTTCTCTGCACGTTCTGAATGCCATCAGAGATCAGGAATAGTCGGTAACCTTCACAATCCTCCTTTCAAGCCTGCAGCTTGTCGCTGGGAATGGCTGCACTCTGCCACTAGCAAAATTCCCCCACTTTAGAACGGAGGAGCCTCTCCAGCACCTGCCGAAGCAACGGGACTCTTAACAACGTACCTGAGCGCAACTGCACTGCCGAACTGACTCGCTTCCCGTTGACATAGGTCTCCGACCCCTCGCAGGGCTCCAGCAGCACAATCACTGGAGCAGAAAAAGACCGCAGAGGGTATGCGTAAGCAGATCATCAGGTACAATTAGGACACTGGGGTGTGGGGTGTCCACTGGGGTCAAACCCAGAGATCCCTTGGACTTGAACCTGAGCTCTTGCTGCAGGTGAACAGAATGTCTGACGGACTCAGGGCTCCAGCTCTGCCCATGAGGCTGCGAGTTCAGCAGCTCTGAGTGGCTTTAATGAGATGCACCAAAAGGCCACCATCACGGGCTCCATCATGAAGTGGGGAAGGCAGAAATGTGGCCTCACCATCCCCATTCGAATTCCGCTCGCTCCGGAAGATGCAGTGCTCCTCTTTGATGTGGGCGCCACTCAGGACAATGTCCTGACGTCTCTCTGCATCTGCCTGGCCGACCCTGAAAGAGCAAGAGAGATTTTTTTTTTTACAAAGATGACTTTTTTTTACAAAGAGGGTAGTACTTTTGTTCCTTCTGCTGCCTTATTATTTTTAATTAAAGACAAACCAAGCTTTTTTGAGGTTAATTTCTCTGGTAGTGTTTAAGAAACTCTGAGAGTGCTTCCAGGATTAGACACCAGGCTTTAGATGGTAGTTACCCATTACCTAGTTAAAATACGATACATTTCAGGGTAACGAGAGAAATCTGCAAAAGCTAATTATGCCATCTTCATTAAGAAAAAACTCAATTATAAGGGGCTAATGTTTTTTTTTAAAGCAATGGGATATTGCACTTGGTTAATACCATGTAGTTTCTGAAAGAAAAATATGAAAACAAACATGGGGTATCAGCGGCAGACAAGTATGTTTCCTAACCGGCTAGCAAAAGCATTACTGGGTGACCTCTCCAGCTCTGAAAAACAAACTACAGATGACGCAAAACACCCACAAGTGTTGCCACTACTCTGAACTGCACATTCCTATTTTGCTACCAATGCAATTACCAGCAAGTGAATGAAATGAAAATCGTTCAAGCCTCAGAAGGGATCACTGAATTAGGTCAGAGATTCAGCATTGTTGTTTAACCCGTCCTGAATCTTTTTACCTTGTAATTCCATCTTTGATATAATAAAGCAGGCATTCAGACATCAGAGGGTCTTCATTCAAGTTAACCAGGTGCGGCGTCTGTAAAAAACAAGGAGACAAACCCCACAGACACGCTCAGCACAGTTTTGTTAAGACGCAAAGAAAAAAAGAAAAAATAAATCTCTACACGATACGCTCCGCTATGCACAAGGACAAACATACACTCAGCAGAGCTATTCTTTACTCGCGGAACATTCCAAACTCCTGTGAGATCAGACTGGAACACACCAGGTTTTCATTCGATCCTGAATCAGAAGACCGACAGCGACGTCTGCATTCTAGCTGGAGAGGTTTAAGAAGCCAAGTGGCTACAGTACATGACTACAATATGCTGCACACTGCTTGTACTGAATTATTAGGTTTTCAGGTCCAAAACTCAGCCACAAATCTCAAATGCTACATCTTCTGATTCCAGGTCTCCTGATCCCAGGTTTAATCTTGGCAGCTATTTGTACTAGATCACCAGATCTACCTCTACACGGCTCCTTTCTTTTTTTGATGGCATTTTGCACCAACCTTTTTAGGGGAAAATACCCCATTAGAGTCAGCGAACAGATCACACGGCCTCTCTGAGAAAATCTGATCGACAGACAAGTGGCCAGCACAGCGAGAGGAGAAAGAACGGACAGGTGAAACGGCGCAGTTGACAAACACAAAGGGGAAGAAATGAGTTGAATGGAAAAAAAAGGAGGAGAAATGTTAGTAATAAAAGTCATTGAATTCATGAGCTGGATAAATTAAGCACTTGTTTCCATGTGCTCGCACATCTGTTTCCGAGCTGGGCTTGCCATGTGTCAACAGAAGACACAGCTGCAACCACTGCAGCTCTGACAAACAGCACCATTTACACTAATAAATGGAGCCTGGACACTATATCTAACTACAGCATTTCACTACCTTTTACTGGGGTCATACAGAAAGTGAACCACAGTGCAGCTGAGGAGTCTGGGCCAGCCAACGTGGAAATGAATTTGGTGCTGGGAGTTTAGCACCTTCAATCACTGCAATCGCTAATCTGTTCTGGAGTCTCTCGGGCTTGGTTCAACAGAAGAGGGAAAGATCGCAGATGTAGGGTGCACTAATCCACCCTTTCCTGCTCAGACCTTTTTCTCGATAAGCTGCTTTTCTACACACTTAATCAGCTTGGCCGCGAGGAGGCCAGGGCTCACAGACTCCGGTACAACTCGTATATAATACCCTCCTACTGTAACGGGCGGACTTCACTGCAATACTAAGATTGCACACACTGCCTGCCAGGAACAGAAACAGCACTAGGTGGCGCTGTACGCTATTGAAGTTGTAACTGCACTTACACCTGAATGTACAATGAGAGTAACCCAATGTTACCAAAATCTACAAGATAACATCATCACCATTTTATTATAAACGATAAGCATTTTGCACATACTATAAGCTATACTAACAACCTCAGTTTAGGGTGGCCTATGTGAAGGAGCAAATTGAGATATCGCTGCAGGCTCCTATGTACACTCATACAGAACAATAAGTCTGTTGCTGCCGCTCATGCAAAACTCATGAATTCAATGATTCCACGAACCTTGTTAGTTGGAAAAGAATCAAAATCCTCACCAAACAAGGAAGATGGCCGTTGAGGGCAAATCTGAACTCAAGGTTATAAGAAAATAAGAGAAAGACCACAGAAAACAATAAGGGGCAAAACGGAGAGAAAAATGACGAAAGTGAAGATGTAGAAGGCCGAGAAAAAAAGCAAAAATCTTACATTTAAATTCAGGCCTGGCCTTTCCACGTTTAAAGTCACAAAGTACACACAAATTTTTACATTCGGATTTCCTGTCGATGGTTTCAGACCGGCGGAAAAGGCTGGAGCTGCTTGGAAAGGCAGGAAATTGGAATTCTGCAGCTTGGCGGTGCTGTCTGAACCCACCCGCCTTTCCCAAAGGGTCCGAAGGACCTCTCGGCTTTACCTTTTTGGGCGAGAAGACCCCCAGTGTCCCACCATCCTCGCGTATGGCCACGCCCATCTCCGCCAGGAGTGCCTCCCTGGATCGGAACAGCGCAGACAAGGTAAGCAAGAGAAAACATAACCAGCACACAGACCCCCCAGGTTCTCTCCCCCTCTGGCTCTGGAAATAACGTCAGAAACACTGCTGTACTGTACGCTCTATTCTGAGAGGCACTTCAAGCTCTCCCGAATGCTTTAAAACGCAGATGAAAAGAAAACTGCAATTCACCCTCAAAACTCTTTGATGAGCCATGTAGTTCTCAGACATTTTCAGACAATAAAAAAAGCAATAAAAACACAATTTCTAAAATATTTTTTAAGGGGCGGGACATCTCTTGCAAAGGGAGCACGTTCCTGCCAGACTTTATTATTATTCTTGGCTGAGGTAAAGGGATGCAGCTTGTGACTGGTGACTTTCACTGGCGGTAGATGACGGTGCGACAGCGAGCTCTCGCTCCACGTGCGCAGTGCACACTTCCAGCGGGAGAGAGCCTCTCACAGCGCCCGTGACAGACACCCCTGCCCGAGCGCCTCGTGACTCCCGGCTGCAGCCGAGGTGAGCTGACCTTTCCATCCGGATGGCTTCCGTCTTCCTCAGTTTCTCCTCCCAGGTCTCATTGAGCTCTGCAATGATCTTCTCCGATTCCTGGTGGGGGAGG